GGATGAGATTTTTCTCAAATCTATTCATCATGATCTCTTCATTAACCTTCTGTTAAAATAAGATAAAGCATTTTAATAGTAAACTTATTAATAGTGCAGGCTCTGCAAAGCATCGTCCTGGTGAATGCAGTGGACTTTGGGACAGGGACTTGGTCTTGGTCTCCTTTATCAGCCCCATGTATTGTTCAGTGGCCATCACAGCTTTTTTTGTGCATTAGCCAAATGAAAGTGTAGTTAGAAATGCTTTGGGAACTCATGATGATTTATCTAAATAGTAACTCTCTACCTAGTCAATTGTTTGACTTTAGGCAGCCAGATGATGGTAGGTGGCACCACTTATGAACAGAGACACCTGTATTTCCTGAGGCTGCTAATACAGTTCTGCTGTCATTCTGAGTTATGAAGGATTAAAGCTTAATAAAATAGTAAAATGTGAGCTAAAAGATATCTAAACCTAAAGAAAATTAAGGTAAAAAGTGATTGTTCAGACCATAGGTTATATAATTTTATGGAATAGGTATGTTACTAAAACATTGTAGACAGAAGTAGAAATTTTACAGCCTTAGGAGAAGGCTCTGATACAAAGAGTTCTGTGATAAATGTTTTATTTACTTTAAATATTAAACATTTGATTTTAATTTTTTATAAATCTCTCTTTTGGTATTCCTGGTTTTCATAAAGTCAGGTATAATTTTATGAATAACTGTGCAGACACAGCCTTTATTTTATGAAAAAATTTATTACAAGTTTCTTTTTTATAAGCCATCCTAAGGGAGTCATAATATAATTTTATTTACAAATAGTTTTTAAGAAACATACTTAATGTAATAAATAAAAAAGTATATGTAGTATTAAGAGAATTTTTCCTGAAGTATATCTGCATATGAGCCAGATACATCTGGATATGGAAATATAAATATTTTGTATAAAGGCCATTTAATAATGTTTAGCTTTTCAAAGTTGATTCTTCTCTTACTCCCAATTCTAGCTTATACCTGTTCTTGGTAAGGCTAGATTTGTTTATCTTTAGCATTATGATCCTGGGTAATCATGTAGCAATTCAGTATCTTTTTCTTTTTTTTTTTTTTTTTTGCTTTATTTACTGGAGAGAATAGGTAAATAAATAAAGACTAGTGATTTTCTCTCAGGACTTTTAATGAGGAAACCATCTTCCTGTGCTCAGGGCTCCCATTAAAACACAAATCAACAAAAGACCCCATACCTGTTTGCTGAGGTCTTGGCGGTTTATTGGCATGCCACCTATTGGGAACCTAATAGAATCTGGACACATTTTTGTTAAAATAGAGTAATTATTTTAATAAGTCAAAATAATTGTTTAATGTTTACTGCTAAAACACCACTACAAATTAACCACAGATTCCAAGTGAATGTTAGTCTATCCTGTTTCTTAATTTGTCCTTTTGAAATATATATTGGTTATTTCAGAGATGAAGACATATTTTATCCCAGGGTGATAAAGTGAATTGGGAATATGATGGATTCCTTAGTATTTCTCATGCTTTTTTTTATTTCTCCTTAAGGTTGTAAAGTGCAAAGTACAGAGGCCATCTTGGTGGTTATAGTGCTTGTAAGAGAGAGGCACTGTGTGTGTGTGTGTGTGTGTGTGTGTGTGTGTGTTTTCAGAGGGTAACAAGGGTCTTCATAGGTCATCTTAGTTTGATCATTCCTCTACCAGCCTGCTGTTCAGCCCATCATTGATCACCTCCAGCCATGTGGAACTCATTACCTCCCAGTCAATTTTCCTGCAGCCCCTTTGAATGTTACTATACTGAGCCAGGATCCTGCCTTCCTCAAATGCTTATCATTTCAATCCTTTCATACCTTTAGAGCTATTTAAAATTTAAAATTAAATCTTCTTCCACAAGAACGTAGTCCTTCAGATATTTGAAGACTTCTCCTTCATTTCCCCAAACATATACTTGTGTCTCCTATTCTTCAGGCAATATAACTTCACTTGCTTAATTCAGTCTTCATACGACATAGATCCAAGGCCCTTCATTATCCCAGCTTCTGTCCTGAAACTATTCTAATGTATTACTAAAAATAATATTTCATACTTGTCAATAGTTGAATATTTCATAAAATCTTTTGTAAATATCATTCAATTTCCGATTTAATTTCTATCGCAATTTCATGAGCACCTTGTTCTTACCCCAGGGACTGGATAGTTACAGCTCCCTCTCCCTAGAATTCTTCCCCTCCAGGCCTCTGGTGACTGGCTTCTTCTCCTCCAGGTCTCAGCTGAAATGTTACCTCCTCAAGGGAGCCACTTTTCGTCCCTGTGTCTACTGCAGCCAACCACTACCTCTGCTTCCCGCCACCATAGGCTTTCTCTATCACATCAACCTGTTTTACTGTCTTTATGGCATTGCCACATTCTGAATTATCTTACTTTTTTGTTTATGTATGGATTAAACAATTTAAATATTTAAATAAAGGGAAAATAAGGTCAGAGACCCAGTCTGTCTAGGTCATCATCGTATCCCCAGTCTGGCACATAGTGGATGTTAACAGTGTGGGGCCCAGAATTGAGCTCTGTTTTCCTTGATAATTCTTTTTGTATTTGTTCCCGTTTTTTTCCGCATTTCCCATCAAGTCTTATTACTTTAGAAAAGCATATTTGCACAAAAGTAATAAGAAAAATGCTCTACCTGTTTTTTATGGTGGCAGGTGGATGTGGATTTTATGTTAAATGAATTGTGAGTAGTCTGTAGAAGCAAGACCCATGCTGGAAATACACAAAATGAGACAAAACAGTTTCTGGGGTTCAGTCTTCTGGCAGAGGTTCTTACACTTTAGTATGCAAATCAAAATGTAAATTAAAAACTGTAGATTTTCGGGCCCCAACGTCTGAAATTTTAAGTTAGTATGTCTGGGGTGTGGGCCAGGAAGCTGTGTGGATTCCTTCTGTTGTTCAAGGCCCTTAGACCACACCTCCAGAAACTCTGCAAAAATAAGTGTGTATTATCCTGCTTTAGGGTCGCTTGAGTGAATTAAATGCTAATCCTAATGCTTTTTGTAATCATTTACTTTAGATTTTCATGCTGACTCAAACTTGTATAAACTGAGAAAAGTATTAATATAAAACAAAGATCTGGACCTGAGATGTGATACTAACCAGTTTTGACTTACTCGTTCAGAGA